AGAAGGAAACAAGTAGGCCCATCTCTGAGGCCAGCACAGGGTGCCAGGCCCTGCGGAAGCTCTGGTACGCTGCACACCCTGCTGGTGTGGGGCAGCCATGGGCTCAGGTCCCCCAGCTGCTTGCTGCAGGCTCTCCTGCTTCAGTGTTTTGGACAACTCCAGAGCCAAGGGTACCTGCATCTTGTGTGGGTCACTCGTGTCACTGAGTCTGGGGGAACTCATAGATGAGTTGCAGTTTGACCTCATGGGTTTCCATTTACCCTTGACCTCCTGCGCTTCACGGCCAGCTTTCCTTCCAGAGGGTGGGTCCTACCAGGTGCTCAGGCCACAGTCACCCACAGACTTCAACAGCTTCCGCAAGTGTGCAAGGCTAATCTAGAATAAGTCTTCTATCCACATCGTAATGGTTCTGCTTTTCTGACGAAACCCTAACCGCTCCGCAGGCTGGTAATGGACACTCTGGCAGGCTCACCCAGCGGAGGTGAGTGTGGACCTCTGGGAGTCTGGAGCACGGCTACACCATCCTTTACAGAGAACCACCTTACTTCTGAGGAACTACTTTCGGCTAGCGAAGCCCTGGCAGAGACGTCAGGCTTCACCATGGGGCACCAAGAGAAGAGGAAACCTAAGCCGCCCTGCATGGCCCACAGGCCCTCTGACCCATGAAGGGGCACTCCATCCTCAAATCAAAGCGGGTGTGTGAGAGCAGGCTCCATCCACGCCAGAAGACGTGAGCGAGCAAGGAGCCCTTAGCCCTGTGCGCTGCCTCCTCCCTCAACAACCATTCACGAACGCTGCCTAATGGTTTAGTTGGATGACTGACAATGGAGAGAAACATGATTAAAAAACAGGTAACAAACAACTGGTATGCAGAAGATGCTGTCAACAGACCTTCACAAATGGACACATGATGTAAACAGACCTCAGCAGAAGAGGATCTTGATACTCGGGTAAATACCACCACCCACTGTATCTACATCAGTCAGCCTCATTCTCCATACTCGGGTAAATACCACCACCCACTGTACCTACATCAGTCAGCCTCATTCCCCATACTCGGGTAAATACCACCACCCACTGTATCTACATCAGTCAGCCTCATTCTCCATACTCGGGTAAATACCATCACCCACTGTTTCTACATCAGTCAGCCTCATTCCCCATACTCTACCACCACCCACTGTACCTACATCAGTCAGCCTCATTCCCCATACTCAGGTGAATACCATCACCCACTGTATCTACATCAGTCAGCCTCATTCCCCATACTCAGGTAAATACCACCACCCACTGTTTCTACATCAGTCAGCCTCATTCCCCAGACTTCTTGTCCAAATGGGCTCATGTACATGTGGACATGGTGGCAGGAATAGACGTTATACATGAACTCAGCAACACGGACTTCACTCCTGGAAATTAATCCGACTCCAGGTACTTCCGAGTACCCTACCTGCCAACAGCAGACGCCAACATCAACCTCCCCACCCCACCCCTACGCCCTGACACCATCCCTGGGATATCAGCTGGCACCTCATGGCAGGTTGTTATCACTGGTCCACTTCCATCACGAAGAGATCATTAAAATAAATTTGCCTTCTGGGTCCACAGGGCCTTAGGGAATGTCCCGTTCTCCACGATGGGATCCCCACACCATTGCTTCTGACCAGGGAACTCATTTACAGCAAATGAAGTACACGCCAATGGCTCTGTGCTCAGGAAATTCACTGACCTTGCCACAGTCTCCAGCACCCTGAAGTCGCTTGCCCAATAGGTCAAAATACATATGTTTTTAATATCCAGTTAGAGTGCCAACCAACTGGTGACAGCTTGTGGGCTTGGGGGCAACAGACTTCAGAGTATCTTCTGGCACTATAGGTTTTGACTTGGTGGTACTGTTTCTCCCACAGCCCAGATTCACAGCCCAAGAATCGAGGGGTGACACGCGAGGAGCCTCCTCTCCCTATCACCCCCAGTGACCCACTAACGAAATGTTTGCTTTCCTTCCCTAAAATGCTGGACTGCACGGGTCTAAGGGCAAGACAGGGCAATGGTTTCATTAAACTGGAAGCAGAAGCTGCCACCTGGCCACACTGGGCTCCTCATGTCAGTAACAGGCAAAGAAGCGGCTCCGGCAGTGGCTGAGGTGACGGACCCCAACCGTGAGGAGGCCGTTACCCCACAGTGGGATTACCCCACAGTGGGAGTAAGGAAGAACATGCAGGGGACCTGGAAGACCCCCTGAGTGCCCCCTCTGTGTTCTCACACCCTCTGATTAAAGTTAATGAAAAGTCATGGCCATCCAATACAGAAGTGCTACTGAAGGTCCAGACCTTTCAGGAAAGGAAGTCGGATCACCCACCAAGAAAAAAACCATGACCAACCAAGAGGTTTGCTGAGGGCAGCGGGAATACGAAAGGGACAGTAGAAGGAAGTGGTCGATTCTAGCCATGAACACTGACCAGGTGTGGAGACTGAACCTGTTCTAGGCTTTTCTTCCTTGTTTTGATAAGAATATAACTGTGTACACAGAAAAGAATTCTTCCTCCTCCCTCTCCCAGGCCCCTACCATCTCACATAAGAAGCGCTAACAGGAGTCAACCTTGTATTAATATCTTGGAATCTGGTTTACAGGCTCTAGAAGAGAATGGATGTCATCCAAATGTTGGACAAAGGGGCTCTGTCTGCTCTGTGGGGAGTTGGCGATTTTCTGTCACCTGGGTGATGGTGAATTATGTTAGGCCCAAGCATGCGCTGCTCGTCTCTACTTGGAAATTCAATGTGGCTAAAAGAGGTATGCATGGGTACCAAGTTGACCAAAGATAAACTGTGGTGGTTTGCTACTGTATCAACCTAGCAAGGCTGGAATCACACTTCCCAAAATTCCCTTTCTTAGATGATTCTGGGCTAGGGTGGCCCTGAGAGAAATCTGGGAATGATGTGGAGGGCAGAGGGAAGCAGTGGCCCCAGACTGCAGGTTGGCGCGGGGACGGGGACTGCTGCAGCTCACGTGGGCTGTTGCCGGTCACCCGTGCCATCAGGAGAGACGCAGGCTCCCGTCTGTCTGTCCCTCCTCTTCCCCAATCCTCATCCAGCTTTCTTCCCAGCTGCCAGCCTGACCAGACACAGCAGAAACTGCCTGTGCTTCTTCCAAGGAAGAAGTTCTCACAGCTGCACACGGCCTCATTCCTTCAATAAACTCCTCCCTCCGTGACATTTGAAACGGATTGGCTTCTCCGATGAGACCACAACCCACATAGGTTCGACAAAACCATCTCAAAGTTCGTATCTAACTGAGGGCCGTACGATCCTGAACTGAGCAGACAAGTCAACCGCCGGCTGTTGCTCTGCAAGGGAGGGGCGGCTGTGTCCTAGGGCCATCAACTGAGCATCCCACGGCAGACGTGTGATTGGAGAAGCCACTGTGTGTCATCACTGCTGTCTCCTCATTCCCCAGGCCTGAGTTCCCCAGTCCCCTCTTCTTCCGGACTCAGCGGCTGAGGAACAGCACCCCTGAAGGGGCCGTGATCCGCCAGCTACGTGCAGCTCCTCCGAATGAAAATGACCAACAGCCCCCAAAATCAAACAATCCCCGTTTCCAGCCTTGAAAGTACCCTGCAGGGGGAAGGCCAGAGACATACGTTCCAAATGCTAGAAAATACCCTCAAGAAGAAAACATACTTGTCTTTACTCACTGCCATTACAAAGAAAGGAACCCAGTGAAGTTCTGAGTTGTATCAAGACATTTAATTTGTTTTCTCATTAATCTACTGTCTTCTTAAAGAGTTGATAAATTATTCTCAAAACCGAAAAATCCATGACCACCTTATCAGAACTACCCCTTTTCTCATCCAGAGCACAACAACTGTGTATTGACACTCGGCCCAGTCTATGCCTCGACTGCTCTAGAAGCTGATGAGACAGGCGAGGAGGAGCAGCCGGCGCCCTCAGGGGCATGCAGTCCAGCTGGCCTGGCTTCTCCACAGCCCTTCTCCGCACTCAGAGAAGCATGCCAACAGGGGAACCTCCTGTAACAACCTCCTTCCAGTCATCAAGACAGATCCTGCTTTGGTGGAATAGCTGCGCTCGTAGACTGCCGAGGAGAGAAAGATCTGAAATGCAAAGTCTCTATGTGGCGGGTAACAGTATAACAACGTTGGGGAAAAGGAGAGTATTTCCCTTAGGAGACAGATAAGGCCTCCTGAGTACAATCAGCAACCACTCTGTCACTTTCCACTTACCTACCTTTCATTTTTAAAACGCAAGCTGGATTCCGTAAGTTGACATACATTCAGGTATTCAACTTTCTTATGAGATGGTAGCTCCCTGCCTGACAGATACTGAAAGGAGACATGGAGCCACCAATTCAAAAATGAATTCCGGAGATTCAACATCAGCACGTCACGCTTCATCTGAACTGGAAGCTGGGTACTAACAAACAGGTACTTCTGAGTGCCACCAACAGGCCACTAACTGGGGCCAGGAGAACCAGGGCTTAGGCAAAAATCATCTAATAGAACCTGTACCCCAAAAAAAGAAAAAACCAAAAGTCTATGACCACGATGCCTGTTTGTGTTGTGCCCAATTATTTCCAGCGCGACAGCCAGCCTGGTGGAAACTGCTCTGATCGTGGCAGGATGGGTGCAGCTCAAGAAGGTCAAAGACTAAGGAAGTGGGGGCTGTAGCACACACCAAAAAATACACCACAAATTGCCATTTCTCTTCTGCAAAGATGATGCCTGTTGCCACAGCAATAAGCGTTCACTACCTTTGAGTCACAAGGAAGACAGCAATTGGAATAGAGGCTTGTACGTGAGTGTCCTTCCTTAGTCTCGGTGTCCTTCTCAAAACCTTTCCTGTACTGACAATCTCTGGGTTCAAAAAGCACTTGGCCCGTGGTGGTTTATAATGCCCAGTTCCCCTTCCTACCCAGAAAGGGGACAGGCTCTGCAACAGTCCTGCCAATCACAAAGGCAGCATGCTGGGCGGGACTGGCCACTCACTTGATGTGATGTATTCCGGAGCTTTTCCGGGGCTCAGCGGCACAGCTTCCTCATAGTAACCTTCTGGGAGGGAGGACGTTGGCAATGGCGGAGGCCCACTGTCAGGAGGCTGAGGAAGAAAGGAAAAGCGACACAGAAATTAGCGTGACAGTTAGAAGGAAATTCTGGATTTCCAATTAATGAATGTGGCCAGTCTTTTCCTCTTTCCTTTGTAAAGTCTTCGGAAAAAGAGAACCTCATCCTACAAAGGGGTTTGGAAGGCTGGTCCTGATGTGTCTCTCTTACTTTCCTGCGTGCATTCATGCCCCAGCCCCGGCCACATGCCGTCCGGTCCACACCAAATCTCCGGGTTCAGCGTGTGCAACAGTCTCACTGGAGTATCCACGACACGGAATTCCCCTTCCCCCACGTAGGACTGGGCCTGTTCAGATGCTGCTGCCCCAGGGGTCTGAGACAGCGTCTGCGTTCTCCTTTATCCCCACATACACCAACCCTCGCAGGCCTCAGACGCAGACTCTGGGACTCCATGGCCCTGCCACAGGCGGTGGGCTCCTGGGACACAGATGCTCAGGTGCACCCAGCACTCATTACAGAGTGAGCTGATGAGCCACACTGGCTGAGTGCATGAGTGAGGCCTGCCCACATTCTCACTATATCCCTACTGTGTGCTAGGAAAACTTCAAAAAAAAAAAAAAAAAAATCAGCTGGGAGCCACTCTCTAAAACAAAGTAGAAGTTATTCTCCAGAGATGGAATCTACCCCTTATTAAAACCAATCATGTCACTTTTTTTTCTTTTTTTTTTTGAGTTGGAGTCTCGCTGTGTCACCCAGGCTGGAGTGCAGTGGCGCGATCTCTGCTCACTGCAAGCTCCACCTCCCGGGTTCACGCCATTCTCCTGCCTCAGCCTCCCGAGTAGCTGGGACTACAGGCGCCCGCCACCACGCTCGGCTAAGTTTTGTATTTTTAGTAGAGATGGGGTTTCACAGTGTTAGCCAGGATGGTCTTGAACTCCTGACCTCGTGATCCGTCTGCCTCAGCCTCTCAAAGTACTGGGATTACAGGCGTGAGCCACCGTGCCTGGCCCATCATAATTTTTTAACAAACTCAGAGACTGAAACACTCTCTGGTTGTGAAGCCACAGCCTTAGAATATGGACAAGCTGGGGGTTCACTCCATGCCTCGGGACAACCTACATCCCACCTGGCCTTTAGGACTCTGCTCGGGTCCCCTCTTTTCTTAAATGTTCCTGATGGCTCTGAACCACCCCAGCCTCTCCTTCCTAAGACCATCTACAGGACTTGTTGGTGTGTCTCTCACTGGTTCTTCTGCCAACAGAGGCGGCTGAATGGCAGGAAAGCCAGCATTCGCCCAGCATCTGCGATCTGCCCAGCACTGTGCTAGACACTTCTGCACTGGCTACAGGAGCGTCAATCTATCCATGCAGGAATCCTTCAGGCAACGCATTCTATTACACTATATTTTACAGATACAGAAGTTGAGGCTCAGAATCTAAATCTGCTCAGACACTAGTAACTGCCAGCTGGAGTTTTCAAACACCAGGTCTGTCTGTTAGAGACCTTTTTAATATTCATATTCTCTCTCTCCCCCCTTTTTCGTATGAACAGCATGCAACCATTTCCCACTACCGAGATTCTGTAAACAAGCTGGGAAGAGGTATGTCACAAGGAATGGAACAGAGCAGAGGCCCCAAATTAAAATCTACTCAGTTACAGTTCCAAGTAGAACAAGGTTCTATTGAAAGTATGGGGCTGTTGTGTTTTTTTAATGTAAACTCTCCAGAAAGTGCAACTCCATCGCTTTCCATGTAAGTCATCTCTGAAGCCAAGAAGTCCTTTGTGAATGACTAATCACCCACTGCAGACTCAACCCACTCCTTCCTCTCACCAGATGAAGAAGAGAACTCACTCCAGACCATCTGCACAACATTTCTTCAGGGACTTACAGACAGTTACCTCCCTCCCGCCCCCAGTCCTTGTTCCCGAGGCTAAATAACTCCAATTCCTTTGCACTCCTATCAGAAGGCTGGCTTCCCAAACTGTCATCATAGTGTGGCATTAGGCTGGACCATCTCCAGGTCCTTCATATCTTCCTACAGAGGCAACAGAACCTGACACATGGGGCCCAGCACCAGGCAAGGTCTGTACAGGAGTCCATATCCAAGTTAAAATCTCTGCTGGCTGCTTTTGGAAAAGAGCTGCTTGATTCACTGAGTATCTTTTACTCCTGAGACGCCGCGTATTCCAACCTCCTTTTAGCATGGTCAAACAATCAAACTACTCACGTCCTGGAAAAGCACGACAAATAGCTGAATCAAACAAACGTTTGTGAACTAGTACAGGTCAGACTCCTTTCCTCAGTGCCCCAAGGAACTTACTCTCTGAATCGATGGGGTTCTGAGTAGACGCTTTCAAACCCTATTGGTGGTCATGTACTTGGCACAACCTTTTGACTATGCCCTTAGATCCAATAATTCCACTTCTAGAAACATATGTCAGAAGGGTCAATTGGTCACATGAGAAAAAAAACACATAAGGATGTTCAATAAAAGTTTGTTGGCCAACAGATACATGAAAAAATGCTCGTCATCACTGGCCATCAGAGAAATGCAAATCAAAACTACAATGAGATACCGTCTCACACCAGTTAGAATGGCAATCATTAAAAAGTCAGGAAACAACAGGTGCTGGAGAGGATGTGGAGAAAAAGGAACACTTTTACACCGTTGGTGGGATTGTAAACTAGTTCAACCATTATGGAAAACAGCATGGCAATTCCTCAAGGATCTAGAACTAGACATACCATATGACCCAGCCATCCCATTACTGGGTATATACCCAAAGGATTATAAATCATGCTGCTATAAAGACACATGCACACGTATGTTTATTGCGGCACTATTCACAATAGCAAAGACTTGGAATCAACCCAAATGTCCATCAGTGACAGACTGGATTAAGAAAATGTGGCACATATACACCATAGAATACTATGCAGCCATAAAAAAGGATGAGTTCGTGTCCTTTGTAGGGACATGGATGCAGCTGGAAACCATCATTCTCAGCAAAATATCACAAGAACAGAAAACCAAACACCGCATGTTCTCACTCATAGGTGGGAATTGAACAATGAGCTCACTTGGACTTGGGAAGGGGAACATCACATACCGGGGCCTATTATGGGGAGGGGGGAGGGGGGAGGGATGGCATTGGGAGTTATACCCTATGTAAATGACGAGTTGATGGGTGCTGACGAGTTGATGGGTGCAGCACACCAACATGGCACAAGTATACATACGTAACAAACCTGCACGTTGTGCACATGTACCCTAGAACTTAAAGTATTAAAAAAAAAAGAAACATCACATTAAAAAAAAAGCCCTTAAAAAAAAAAAGTTTGTTTAGTAAAATCTAAAACAATCTAAATGTTCAAGAGAAGAATGCTCAGATGTACTGCTACATCCAGATAGACATTTAAAAGGCCAGTGCATGTGTATGGCCATTGACTTTACTAACCTCTAAGAGATACTGCTGAATGAAAGAACACAGGTGAACTATGACCCCTCTACGTATGAGGTGAGTGTCTGCGCTTACATACACACAAAGGCAGAAGGTCCTTCACCAAGAGTGCTCCTAGTGGTTCCTCTTTCTATATGCAATCTGGGACGCTTGCCTTTTCTGCATAGGATGACATTTTAAAAATCATTTCAAAAAATAAAACCACTTTCATTTTGAAATAATACCCCCTCAGAAAATAATACTGCTAGAGAGTCGCTCCACTCTCAATACCACTTATCGTTGAAATCGACCACAGGGGTTTCAGACACTTCTGGCTTGTTAAAGTCAAACAGGAGAAGGGGCGAAAAGATGAGCAAACTGTCACTTACCGCCACTGCTTTCAGAGGATCAAGTCTTTCCAATCCTTTCCAATATATAAGAACTCACTGAAAGCACAAGTAACGGAATTCTAAAAAGTACACAGCAGGGAAGGCAGGTTTCCCACAGGGGCCATGGGGAAGCAGAAGCCAGGCAGGAAGTAAGAGAGTCGGGCGAAGGGAGGAAGACGCAGGTGCACAGCCACTCACATCCAAGGCCAGCTTGTTCCTGCACCTCTGCAACCTTGCCAAGACTCCACGTCCCCATTCCCTCACCTAGAACAAGGGCATCGTGTCAGAACAACCTCCAGGGCCCACCCCAGCTCTGAGAGTCCAATTCCAGCATTCTTATAAAGTTACAGGTCCACAGACAACAAAGCCAACTTTACCTCTTCCAAAATTCCATTGGCAGCCTACCCTGTGTCTTCCCAAAGGATAAAGGACATGCGAATCTCTGGGCAGAGCAAGTCCCTCAAATGTACAACTGAGTGGCAGCCCCACACACCACTGTGGAGTCACTCAACTCTCCCCCACTATCAGGAGAGATCCAGTCCGTGCACATGCCCCTAACACGGCTTGCATCTGGCCCCACTGTTTCCTGGGCTGCCACTCACAAAACACAAGCTACGGCAACAAGGATCCTTGGGCCAGGCGCGGTGGCTCACGCCTGTAATCCCAGCACTTTGGGAGACCTAGGTGGGCAGATCACGAGGTCAAGAGTTTGAGACCAGCCTGGCCAACATGATGAAATCCTGTCTCTACTAAGAATACAAAAATTAGCTGGGCGTGGTGGCAGGGCTCCTGTAATCCCAGCTACTCAGGAGGCTGAGGCAGGAGAACTGCTTGAACCTGGGAGGTGGATGTTGCAGTGAGTCAACACTGCTGCGCTGCACCCCAGCCTGGGTAACAGAGCAAGACTGCATCTCGAAAAAAAAGAAAACAAGGGTCCAAATTCTAACTACCATAGCATCTTTTGACACTTAAAAAGAAGTAGGAGAAACTACCTTCCTTAAGAGAACGACTGATCTTCACCCTTGCTGTGCCCTAGAAATAAAAAAGAACCTGCACTGTGCCAGTGACTAGGTAACTCTCAAATTCACTAAAATATTTCTCCCTCAAATTAATACTTAAGTAAATGCTCCCGAACCTGTTAGTTCAGAAAATCTTATCTACCTTCAGGTATTGTAAATTTCTGCTGCAAGGTCTCCATCTGGCA